CGCAATGACACTTTCGCAAGCCTGCACGTCCAGCGCAGCATCGCACTTGCAATTGCAAACGGCTGGCGGCCACAGCGGTCCATGGCACGCGGAGGTAGTGCCCCTGTGCCAGAACCTCCGTTCGAGGCCCCTCGCACACATCCAGCAGAGCGCCTCCCAGCTTCGTCCCTTCTAGAGGGACCCTGGCCCATCTTCACATCCAGACACGAGTCCATGCATGCATCTCAGGAGCCCTTGGACAACTCGCCCGTCTCGTCCCCTACAAACGCAGTCCTCATTGTGCCCGCGCAGAAGATCCAGCCAGCAGCAAGGCATCCGACCCAGAAGCCGAAGCAGTGGAAGAGTACGCCCTCATGCATAGCTCGTCGGAAAGCGAAGCCGAGACAACAGCTCTGCAGGTGGACACAGACACGCGTACCTACGTCTGCTGGGGTCCGTGGGGTAGCATGCACGTTCCGACCGCAGAGTCATTGCAAGACTACACACTGACTCTTCCAAAGCTCGGTTCTCTAGCGGTGTGCAAGCTCCGCGCGGCCTGCGGGGCACACCTTGGCCCTGCCTCCTTTGTGGCTGTTTGCAATGAGCCAGTCTCTCTTTGCAGGCGCAAAGCCTGCCTCGCCGCCTGCAAGCCTGCAACTTGATGTAAAAGACAGCTGAGCTTTGCACCGACAGTTTCCCACATGCCCTTGCTTGCACGCATGACATTTCTGCCTGCCTCAGGCCGCCGGCGTTTTCGAGCTGTGCCCCAGCGGTTTCTGCTCGCTTCTTGCTTGTGCACCACGTTCAGGCTTTCGCCCGCAGCCATTTTTTCAGCTCAAACAGATTTCTCCTTCCGTCTACAGCGTCATGGACAGCTTTTGGGATGTAGACAGCTCCGAGGGACTGACTCAGCTGCTTTCGCACGTGCAGGTCCCAGAGACCTTGCAGACAGCTTTGCAGCAGACAGGCCTTTCCAGCGTATCCGATTTTGCCTACGCCTATACCTCGTCAGAGGACCTTTCTACCTTCATCGCAAAGCAAAGCCAAAACCTCTGGGACGACCTGCAGGTCACC